ATGGAAAAGACAATCAGAAAGATGATAACACAACGGAAGAAAAGAAGGAAGAAAGTGAATTGGAGATGCTAGAATCTCCTAATGATGAAGATGAGAATGCTGATGAGAAAACTCCTGAAAAATCAGTTATCATGCCAGTGAAAGAAGTAGGAACACGACAGTTACGTTCTGGCATCAAAATAATCAAAGACAGAAAAGACAAAGCCTGCAAAAAAACAAGAGTACACATACCCCGAAGCACATAAGAAAGCCCGAAAAAGAGCAAGCCAAAGCGAAGATGAAGCAGCCAACAAAAATAAGGACAAAGATGGATACCTTCAGTTGCACATGTATGGGGTCTTCAACAGGCTGGATGAAATATCAAAGAAGAAGTTGGAAAATTACTGGAAAACTGCATCTGATTCTGATGAGTAAGCCAATCTGTCATAGAATTACACTGTTAATACTATGTAGTAGAACTATCTAGAATTACACTGTTAATACTATGTCATAGAACTGTCTTGTTATTAAACTGTTATGAGATTTTCATTTGCTGAATTATTATTTGAACAACATTATTGTTGCAGGGACGCTTTTTACCTAAACAATAGGACAATATTGTACAAACATAACATTGAAAAGCTGATTGGAGATTATCCAATTTCTGCACTAATCATCGATGCTTATGGAGAGGCCCTTAATGATGATGCGAAGCAGAACACTCAGAAACAAAAAAATGCTTACTTGTCCGCCAATAACTATGTAAGATCACATCTAATACATCAAAATTATATTATCAAACATGCTCACTAATTACCAACATATGACTTTTGCAGATGTTTTTGCGAGGTGCTTCACACAAGCTGACATATGATGCTTTCTATATGCCACTCCTAGAAAATATTGGAAGAGTTGATAGAGTATTCATACCAATTACAGATGAGAACCACCATACGCTGCTTGTCTTTGACATCGGTGCAGCAACGTGGACACACTTCAACTCATTCAGGGGGACATCATAACAAACTCTCTAATATTATCACAAGAAGGCAATTGTTTTGGTAAGTAAGATGGGTGATTAACACTGTTAATACATAGGACACTAAATTTAAAGGAAACTAAGTACATACTTGACTATGATGCAGGTTGAGATAGCAAATATATTCCTCTGTCTTCTTAAGGAATGTGCTGCAACATCACTGAAGACAAAACTCATCTCGATTCCTAATTTTGATACCAAGAAGCCGAGAGGGCTGATTGAAGCTTCAGCTAAAATGATTGCAACAATACTTGCCAGCATCAAACTTACACCAGAATATGCTCGGACATTGAAGTATCTGATTCGTCAAAAGACTACTAACTTCAAGCTGACTGAGAACAGAGAATGTCCCCAACAAGCAAACAATTCATAAGTTACGCAATAACAGTGAAACTTAAATCCTCTTCAACTAAAAAAAGGCTGAACTAACTCCTGCATATGTATCTCTATTATGCAGCAATGATTGTGGCCTCTTTGTCATGCACTTCATGAAGCAGCTTTCCAAAGACCAACAAATAGAATCAGATTTCAACAAAGAAAAGGTTTGGGAAATGAGAAAAGAAGTCCTCATGAAGATTATGAGCAATGAAAGAAGTTGGATTTCCATCAAAGAGAGAGAAGAGACAAATGCAAAAGAATGAAGTTGTAATCAAATATTTTGCCAAAATTCTTGCTTATATTGTAGTTTTGTAGGACTTGTGCTGGTTTAGAACACTAAAGTAAGGTGATTTTAAAATTCAAATTATGTACTTATTCAAAAACCAGTTTATTTACGTGAATTAACAGTGTATGTAACCTGAAATAACGGTCTCCATAACACTAAAACAACTAAAAAGTTGAACTCCAACAAATAACAATACACTCTAAGTACAATGTTAGTATTATATGATGGAAATAGATTGTTAATACCATGTCATAGAAGTATCTTGTTATTACTATGTCATTGAACTATCTTGTAATTTCAAGAATGATGTAAACAGCGCGCATTAAACAATGTTTGTTGATTTATAGATAATTCAAACAGCAGTAATGCTAAATTCATATCAAACTTCCAAACCAAAATTTGCAAAATACCAAAAATGGTAAATATTATGTATTAATACCAAAAGTCAAAGAGTATTCATAAGCAGTAACTGCTATTTCACCATATTAACAACTTGCATATCAATTTCTATTCCTTTCAACTATGATTGTCATTAATCAATCGTATAGCACTTTAACTAGTTAAAAACTAACTACACTCAGTCAACTCTTTATACTCCAGAACCTTTACTTCAAATAGGGGCCTTGCAAGTCCTCCTATTGTGACGATCAAAAGCACCGCATCTCTTGCACTTCACTTGCCGTTTAGTTTCACTGCTTGACTTGAAGCGCTTTGTTGGAGGTCGTCCCGGAGGCTTTCTTGTATGAGGAGGCAGAAGAACAACATCTCCAGGAGGAGGCTTCTCAATATCAGGTATGGGAAATATAGGGGTTCCATAAGTAGCCCTATAAAAGTCTGCCTTGTAATACTCATCAACAAAGTCGTACAAACACAACCCGGAATGATGGATAACTTGAATTGCATGCTGACATGGAAACCCAAGCAATTGCCACTGATAACAGGAGCAAAACCTCTCGTCCAAATTGACCATAACACTCAAATCAGCATGAACTTCAAATACAGATTCACTCGCGCGACATATCCTCCAATGACGACCCTTTGAAGCTAAATTCTTCAACTCATCCTCAATAACCGGACACAAAACACTACACCATTTCTCGGATGCAAGCTTCCTCCTAGAAATCATCTCCATCATTTTGATCCTAATAGTGTCAATCAGCTCATAAATTGGAGGCCTACGCACCTCCTTAACAGTCGGTGCATACAACAACTTACAAAAAAGCCATAAAATATGATCCTTGAAAGAGGAACCAACAGAATGCGGATACTTCTTTTTCAAGTTGTCTTTCAAATGATATAGACAAAAACCATGGGGAGAAGAAGGAAAAACAGTCCTAACAGCATCGATAATAGCACCATGCCTATCAGAAATGAATGTAAGTTGCCTACCTTCATCCACCAAGACTTCAGATATCCTTTGCAGAAACCACCTCCAATTGTCCACAGTTTCACCAGATACAATCGCAAAGGCAAAAGGGAATACCTCTACAAGAAACAGAGAACTGTATTAGTTAGTTTGAACTATAACAGTGTTACCACATGAAGCAGAGTAAAACTACAATGCATAAAAATACTCAGATGCAGGGTATGAACAGTATAGCAACTACAGCATTTACATTTGCATAACTACACTGTTCATACCACTCAATGGAAATCAACAGTAAGAACTGTATTAGTTAGTTTGAACTGTAACAGTGTTACCACATGAAGCAGAGTAAAACTACAATGCATAAAAATACTCAGATGTAGGGTATGAACAGTATAGCAACTACAGCATTTACATTTGCATAACTACACTGTTCATACCACTCAATGGAAGCAACAACTACAGCATTTACATTACATACCTTTATTTCCATTATTTGCAGTAGCTCCTAGAAGAGTACCCTTGTACTTGTTTGTGACAAAAGTACCATCAATGAACAGCATAGGCCTACACCATCGAAAACCATCAATGGAGGCCTTGAAACATATAAAGATCCGCTGGAAATGAGAACCATCCTCGCCACAGTCAAGCACACAATGAGATTCGACATTGCTGGCCTTCAAAACATCCACATACCAAGGCAGGTGAGCATAAGACAACTCCTCATCACCATGTAAATCCTTAGTAGCCGACTCCTTCCCATACCACGCAACATGATAAGGGATATCCAATCCATAATTTTCCTTCAAATCAGTAATCAGCTCAATTGGCCTTACCAAAGGATTGCTACGAACTTTATCCTTGACAATTGAAGACACCAAACGCGACCCCATTGCCTTATTTCTCTTCTTTCGGATCAAACCAGTGCAACTGTGTATGTTATTTAAATTCTTAATATAAAAGAATCCATTTACATTAGAATTAACAGCATGCACATGCCACTCACAGCCATCTGATTCCTTCTTAGCACACACAGCAGTAACGCGACGAGGCTCACTTTTCAAATACTTCATCTTAAAACCATTCTCAATCACGTACTTAGCCAACTTATCGCGGAATTCAGAAACTCCACCCTCAAACTTCTGACCCTCATGACTAATATAACCCTCCCAATCAGTAGACAAATACTTACGACCTCCACAACTACCATATTTGCCTAAATAATCATTTCCAAACTCACTGCTAGTACTATCAAAATCTATACTCAAACAAGAAGAAGAACCTGCACTGGAATCAACAATACTACCAGCCACACTTGAATCTTTACATGTATCCTCATCTTGTGCAAAATTGTCATTATTAGGAACAGCCTCCAACAAAAAAGGAGAGGCAATTATGTTCGTATTAACTGTTTGAACATAATTCACTACTACAGCCTTATCCCTAACATAAATGTGAATTAATTGATCCTTCATCAGTCCACATACCATAAACATGACTTTCAAATCATCATCCGATTCCAACAAACAATTGGAGCAATCTATAAAGGAGTACCTCAACTCAAAATGACCTAACATAAGCTTAAACCTACTATACAACTCGTTGGACAACCAATCAAAAGTAGTAGTTGAAGATAAAATAACCATTAAAGTTCCAGCACCATAGGTGCACTTTGCCACTCTCGAATCATCCATATCTCTACAAAAAAAAACAACAAACAAAACAAAAATGACTACTAGTAATAACAGTGTTATTACCCTATACTGGAACTTTACAGTGGTGGTAGACATGCATTAGAAATAGGATTTCATAGCAAACGAGCAGTGTTATTACCCTATACTAGAATGTAACAGAGGTAGACGTGCATTAGATGTAGGATTTCATAGCAAACAAGCAGTGTTATTACCCTATACTGGAACTTTACAGTGGTGGTAGACATGCATTAGATATAGGATTTCAGAGGAAACAAGCAGTGTTATTACCCTATATTGGAACTTTACAGTGGTAGACGTGCATTAGAAATAGGATTTCATAGCAAACAAGAAGTGTTATTACCCTATACTGGAACTTTATTGAACAGTTCTTTCCCTTTTATTAACATTGTTCCTAACTACAAATACTGTTACAGCACTGAAAAAGCAAGAATATACTCAGATTCAACTGAAAAAGCATACCTCAATTAATATGAAAACCAAATCGAATATCACAAATTTCTAACCGCAGCTCAAACCGAAACATGCATTAGAAATAGGATTTCATAAGAAACAAGCAGTGTTATGATCCTATACTGGAACTTTACAGGGTGTAGA